GAGCCGGTTATTGCCGGCAGAGTAGGGGTGCCCTGGGCAGACACGGAGGGGCCTTTCCAGGCAGCAGGTGCAGTGAGATAAAAGGAGAGGCATGGAAGAGAGGGCCCACACACATGCTCCACGAGCAAGGGGTGCTCCGGAGGAAGGGCAGCACAGTGGGCCGGGACACCCGTCATGAGGGGCCCACAGTGAGGCCAGATGGTGCCCAGACTGCGCAGAGGGCAGCGGTTTTCTAAAGAGGCTGCAGTGTTCCACAGAGCTCCAGGCCCCAGGCTCAGCCCCTGCCTTCTCCCAGTAGTTTTGCTTCTGTCTACTTTGCAGGTAAGGATTCTGTGCCACATCATTTGGCCTTTAAAACTTTTTTTTTTTTTTGAGGAAGATTAGCCCTGAGCTAACATCCACTGCCAATCCTCCTCTTTTTGCTGAGGAAGACTGGCCCTGAGCTAACATCCGTGCCCATCTTCCTCTACTTTATATGTGGGACACCTACCACAGCATGGCTTGCCAAGTGGTGCCATGTCCACACCCGGGATCTGAACCGGTGAACCCCGGGGCCACCAAAGCAGAACGTGCGCACTTAACCGCTGCGCCACGGGGCCGGCCCCTGGCCTTTAAAACTTTTTAAAAGATCTGCTTCTCCAGAAGGGTCAGAAGCCCCCAAAGATTCTTCCGGGGAGAAATGACAGAAATATTGTTGTGTCATAGAAGGTGAAGCAGATTATACTTTCCAAAAACGGCCATAACACAAGCTCTCCCACCTGACGTGTCCCTCTTACAACGTCGCTGTGACATTCCTCCCATTGAGGGGTGGAGTCTATGTCCCCTCCCCTTGGAACAGGGAGAGGTGGGTGACTTCATCAACAGAGAACAGCAGAATTGATGCTCTGTGACTTCAGAGGCCAAGCCGTGAAAGATGCTCCACCTTCTGCCTTGTTTGCTGAACACGCACCATGCGGAGCCCCAAGCAGCAATGGCAACAGGTGAACTTCCCTAAGGCCGCCATCCTGTGAGGAAGCCCCACCTGGCCCAGGCAGAGAGCCTGAGACTCGCTGAGGTGAGACACCCAGCCAGCACCCAGGTGCTCCAGGCCCCCACTGTCCCAGCTTCAGCTGTCTGACTGCAATAGCAGGAGACCCCAAGCCACAGCCACCCAGACAAGGCCCTCTGGAATTTCCAACCCAAGGAACCACTGGAGAGAAAGAAATGATTACTATTTTAAGTCACTAGGTTTTGGGGTGAGTTTGTTAGACAGCAAAAGTAACTGATACAGAAGGATGCCTCTGGTGACTGCGGGGAGAAAGTCTGACCAGAAATGGGACTGAGGGCAGGAGGGCCAGCAGAGGCGAACCCACAGCAACCAGGGCTCTGGCTGAACGGCTGGAGAGGAGGCAGAGGGTCAAAGATTTTAAGAGGAAGAACAGATAGGACGAGGTTACCTACCGGAAAGGAGAGGCAGCCCAAGACGTCTGAGACAACTGAGTTTCTAGTGGGGACTACCTGCTAGACGATGATGCCAAAGCGTCATCAGCGTGTGTACGGTTTGTGTGTGCCCTCTTAAAACAGCATTTGTAATTTCAAGGACAGGAGGCAACTCAAAGCACTTGGTTTCCGAGCAGAAGTCATGCCTGGCCTGCTCCAGTGACTGGCTGAGGCAGATCTGTACTTAACAGCATCTGTCTGTACATAAACCACCAACCAAAGCCTTGAAAGGCCTTCAGAGTTTGTTCTCAAATTCATCAAGACCTTCACTCGTTTACATTCCCGAGAGGCTTAGCAAACAGTTACTTCCCAGACAACACAGAGGTGAACCCCACTGGAGCCCAGGCTGATTTATCACAAATTTATAGTGTCTAACTTAACTGTGGTTTGTCTTGTATAATCTGTGACCCGACAAGCAACTTTGTTTAAAAGTTGAATCTGCTTTCTGCCCTGTGGCTCAGGAACAATCTGTGCTGGGAGTTGTTCGGGGAAAGATTCACCGGCCAGTCCAGCCGACGACTCACCCGTAGGGCACTCTGGAAAACGGCATGGTTTGGATTAACAAAAAGAAAAGTGTTTCTTCCACTGACTGACTGTCCTCTGGTTGAATCTTCTGGGAGGGACACGGTGATGACAGCCGGACATGGAGGGAGACGGCTCATCACACACAAACACGCGCACTCCCTCTGGGGGACTTTTCATTCCCATGGGAAAACCCAATACCCCACACCGAAGGAGTCAAAGCCACAGTGCAAGCCCATTTGGCAGAGCAAGCCTCCTTCGACCTTTTGGGGTCTACCGTACATCATCATCACTGGGGCAATGTCATCTGTTTAAAATTGAGGTGAAAACCACTCCACACAACATTAACCATTCCGCAGCGTTTCTGGTGGCTGGGTCAATGCCGTTTTGATCACCAGGAAAACATACTTGCTTTAAAGTCTCTGCTTTAAAAAAATTCTGCCACGATCACAGAAATTTAGATCTGGACAGACTTTTCAAGTTCACCTAAGTTCTATCCCCTCATTTTACAGAAAAATAATGAAGTTTAGAGAAAGTTTCATAAGGTCACACACTCAGTGGCAAAATCAGCACTTGAACCCACAGCTTCACGTTGAGGGGTTTTCTACTACACCTCATGCTATCTTTCCACCTGGCTCAGTCGCTAAGCAACTAAGTGAGGGATGAGTAGGCACTGGGCACACAGAGCTGAACTAGTCAGACATGGTCCCTGCCCTCAAGGAGCCTGTGACCTAACAAAGACGACAGGCAGAAAAAAACAGCAGGAAACAAGGACTACAGCATCCCACTCTACACTCCTCCCGTGACTTTTCCAGATACCCACAGTACCAACTTTCTTTTAATCCTAAAAGATGGGAATGCCTCTAAAATGTTTTACAAGGTCCATGCTTTCATACCGAGGACACAAAGCAATGAACACAGTCAAACCACTTCTCATCGGCAATGGGACACGGCTAGGAGCGTCCAAAACTGAAACATGGCCCTGGGTCTGCTTTTTAAGTGTTTCTGCCTCTTCTGTCTGGCTGTCAGCTACACTTTCTCATCTGCTCTTATCTCATTTGCTGCTAATCTGCTAAGGATCAGGAAATTAGAAACTTCTTTAAAAGAATAACTGAGACAAGGCATAAAGCATAGGTTCGTAACCAGAGTCACAGTCCCACAGTTTTGTGAGGACTCTGACAGTGTGTGAAGGTGTGCGTGAGTGCGGGTGTGCGTGTTTTTCAAGGTTCAGGGCCCACCGCTTCATTCTTAAAGTCTCCAACTCTAAAGGCACAGGTGTGATCTGATAGTAATAAAAATTCCTATTCTCCTACTGAACCTGCAGGGTGGAACTAAGCAAGTCACCACTTAATCCCTTGGAGCCTCAGTTTTTAAGACTTTAAAACGTGGGCCGAACAACACCCTCCGCCTTGCAGGGCCGCGGAGAGAGTGAGGTAACGTGTCTGGCACAGCCTCCGACCAAGAGCATCCCGCAGTCTGTCCTCCTTAAATGGGAGGAACTCTCCAGGAGTGTAAAGCACGGGCTTATCTGCTAGGACTTTTACATAACAGTTTTTGGGTGCCCAAGGGCCCTTTCCTCCCTGATTTTCTGCTCATGTGACGCAGGTTTTCCATTTAGGCTGCCAGGAGTCTTAGAAAGGTAGGCGGGGTGTTATTTCAGTTTCCAAGTCATTAAGCACCAACAGAGGAGGGCAGGCTTCCACAGCTCTCGCCCCACACCATGTCCCCGGCCCTGTTCTTGATGGAGGGCATGGACTGGGGGCTCCTCCAAAGCCAAATGAGAGGGAGGAAGAGGACCTTCTGGGCAGAAGACAGAGTTGACCAAATTCCATATTCACCCACAAAACATCTTCTCTTTTTCTTTTCTGTACTGTTCTCTCCTTTTCCACTTTCTTTCTGAAGTCTTCTGACCCCTCTCTCTGGATGGAGAGCACCAAGAAATATTTCCACCATTTCACCTCCCTATTTACTGGTGCTCCCCAGCCCATCTGAGGCCATCGAAACCAGACAAATAGGACAGCCCTACAAGAGTCCCCAAACTACCTCACCTCCTCACCCAAGAATGAGACTTCCAAGTGCCTCTCTCCCTGGTATATCTATTCCAGAGCAAAACTTAGCAACCTACATATGGGCTCCATGTCAAATACTACCAGAGCCATCAGCTGGTTTTCCCTCACACACCCCTCAGGGAGTGAAAGACCCAAAAGGAATCACAGGCAGGAGGTGGAGCTGTATCTCTGCTGTCATGTGGGTAAGAAAAAGGTTTTGGATAACCAAGTCAATGTTTACAGCCCCAAAATCTCCAACTGCAGAACACAGAACGGTTTCTCTGCAGGAATCAGATTTTACCCAGGAAACTTGGTGGAATGGCAAAAATCCTCAATAAGGAGCTAGCAATGGGGGTCCTGAAGGAGGCACGGCTGTGCAGGCACATTCTAAGCGGCAAAGCAGAGCCCTGCGCAGCAAGGGGAGGAAGCGCAGGCACGTCTGGGGTTCTTCTAGCTCCCCCAGTAAGGCAGCTGCCCTCCGCCTCGTGCATCCTCCACCTCCGCCCATCCCTCCAACAGCTCAGCAAGTTTGCTGACCCCTCTTCCGTGTACTGAAACTCGGTTCCCAGTCAGCACTCAACCTACAGGCGACTGCAGTCTGCTCTTTACGACCCTGCCACGCAAAGCAGAGGGGATGACTTCATGCCGGGAAACACCCCAGGTCAGATGACAATGGACAAATCCACTGCTCCAGACTGCGGCCCGGCAGATTTCTCACGCACTGTTCTTGGCTCTGCTAACGAGCCAGCTGGGTGAAGTGGAGCATTTTATCCTGGGTGTGCCTCCCTCTACCTCTCCAGATTTTAAAACACAGAATCATAGAAATATTAAGCTAGGGGGATCTTAGAAACCATCTAATCAGCAGCTTCTTTTAAAAAGGAGGAAAACTGAGGCCCAGGTTTATCCATAGCTAAGTAAGACTTATCATATAACTAAACAGCAACGAACCAGGATCAGAAAACAAATTTCTTTATTATACAGTTTAGTGCTTTCCAGCTGTTTACAGATTAATCGTAAGTCAAAATTCAAGAATGGGGCTGGACTTATCCAAAAACATACTGTTTCTAATAAACCTCTCTACTATTAGAACAATGGTATTAAGAATACTTACATATCATCCAGATAATTTTATTTTTCTTCCAAATTAATTGTTCTTTACTAAGAATACAAAACATCCAAAATACAAACCAATCTCAAAAGAGAAACAGAAGAAGTCTTCTGTCTGCCAGGGGACCCCCAAGAGCCCCCCAAGGGCCAGGCCCGTGGGTCCGAGTTGGGAAACCCTCACAGAGCTCTGTGAGATGACACTATTATCCCAGTTCCACAGATAAGTAAACCAAGGCTTAGAAAGGCTAACTGGCTTGTCTCAGATCCAGAGCACTGAAGGACACAGATGACACAGAACAAAAACCCAAGGTCTGCCTCCCATGACTAAACGTTATCTAAGAGAATGTTAACAACCCAAACGAAAATAAAATTAATTTCAAGTGACTTTTAGAGAACAACTTGCCAGCTCACCAAATCAGACAGAGGCACTGGTCTCTCCTCTCATGCTGGGCAAATTATGGACAATTCCATCTACTACCAAATTCTGAAATGCCGTCACCTTGGATTATAGACTCCGTTCTCACAAACACTATCACCGATGGGTGGATTTCTCGACAACACGAAAGCCCCTTCAGACCATTTCTCTGGTTGATGGTTTCCTGGACCCCTTCAGAAGATCCGCAAGGGGCCATTACCTATTGTCTGATCATTAATGTTTCACAGATGTCTACAGCTGCCGCCTCTGTGTGATCCTGGCTGGTTTCATGTAACAAGCCACTAATCCGTCCACTTTGTCAGCTGGTAGTTAGACACATAATTAGGGCGATCCTGAGACGTCTCCAATGGATGCCATACGTGCTGTCCATTTCTACCTCGATGGCACAAGAAATTCAAGAAGCCTTTCAGGAAAGTCTAAGATGACTAAACAGCAGAGCGTCCCTGTATTCCACACAAGAGCTAAAAAAAAAAAAAAGCAGTTTGGAAAAAACATTGTCCACATGTTCATTGATGAAGGCTACGAAAAGTAAAGTCCCTTTTTCATAGCAGAAGCAGCCAATTCACATAAACCTTCTCCCAAACTGATTTATAGGATGGCCTGGATGAAATCTGGAACATTTGGCCACAGGTTTACACCAATAACACACTGGACATACATTCCTGCCAAAGGTTTTGGGGGAAACATTGGGTCCAATGTGCAAACAGCACAAACGGACAGGTCACGATGGGAAAGCAGCAAGATTAAAGGATTTGGGAAAAGTAAAGGCTCCATCAAGCCATGTCTTTCATCTAGAAGGTGGCAATGCTGCCTTTTCACTTTCATCCAAAGGGAGGACTAAGGAAAAGACAAACACGATGCTTACGCAGCAACTAAACCAGTTGGGCCGTTCCTTTCCCGGGTTCCTGAGCTCCTATCTCAGACACTTGTGTGTGAATCAATGTGGAAGACTCCCCTGATCTCCACCTGCCCCACCCGACTCAAGGGCAGCTCTTTATCACAGCACATTCTCTAATCTGCCAACCGTGGGCACAGCACATCACAGAACAGAATCCTGCGACAATGACCACCCTCTAGCACCCCAAATACATGGCCAAAGCTTTCATATACTTTGGTGACAGCAAAGCACAATGCAACATTTTACCAACCTGTGATAAATTTGCAAATGTAACCTAAGACCTGTCATAAAGCTCCCCACTTCCAGCTGTCGGATCCACCTGGCAGGGAGGGGAGATGCCTACAAGTGAGGTCCTTCTAGCTTCAACATTGAAGACCTAAGACACAGTTTTGCCGGCCTGTGAGTGATGAAAAGGACCTAGAAGACAGACAGACAAGGGTTTAAATATTTCATCTGCCACTTCTGGCAACGGAGGTCTGGACAAGTCCTTCACTTTCCTGAGCCTCAATTCCTTCATCTGTTAAGTGGAAATAATAACAACATTGCAGTGTTGTTTTGGGGACAATAGCATAAAGTGCTCGTAAAGAAACTAGCACAGTTCCTGAAACACATTAAGTGCCCAATAAAAAAAGAGCTATTATCACCATCCTCTTACACAGAGTTTAGTCCCAGAGGGCACAAGATTCTACCATCCAGTATGGGATTAAAACACCCACAGCCCTGCCCTTAGGAAGTTAACGTTACCTGAAGGCATGCAAGTGGGTGGCCAGGGAACAAGAGCCTGAAAATCAGTCAGTTAAGGCCACTCCTTTTTGGTTCTTTTGGGCTAGATGAAAGTGTTCTTTACAAGTAAAAACACTATTCCTCCATCAACAGACAAATTTCCTTAGAGCTAGTGAACATCTGCCCACGAGGTGTTTTCACAAGCTCAAACCCTCTTTCCTTCCACCCTCAACTGAATGCTGAGGGCTAGGTCTCAAGAAAGTTGGTGGCTGAGTAAGGAGCTTAAAGTCCTTCAATGAGTGAAGGAATTAACGAAAGGGAAGCAACAAGTTCCAATTCCAAAATACCTTTTGGATAACCAGGAACTAAACCCAAACAGTGAGCAAACGGTACTATTATTACCATCTCTCACGCCACCACCTAAAGCGGGCTCTGCCAACCGCAGCACACCACAACCGCCACGAACAACTTCCACCGCGCAGTTACTCCACGGCGGGCTCGGACTTACGGGCTTAAAATGCATTAACGAAAATAACAGCTGGGGACTGGCCCGGTGGCAGAGTGGTTAAGTTCGCACGTTCTGCTTCACTGGCCTGGTGTTCGTGGGTTTGAATCCCGGGCACGGACCTACACACCACTCATCAAGCCATGCTGTGGCAGCATCCCACATACAAAAAAGGAAGACTGGCACAGACGTTAGCTCAGGGACAATCTTCTTCAAGTAAAAAGAGGAAGATTGGCAACAGATGTTCGCTCAGGGCCAATCTTCCTCATCAAAAGAAAAATAACAGCTAAAACTTACTAAGGCATTGTTCGAAGTGCTTTCTATGCCAACAACTCACTTAACCTTACAAACAATCCTGGGAGGTCAGTGCTAGTATGAGTCTCAGCTGTGGAAACTGCGAGACAGACAGCGTGGTGAGGTTATACATGTAACGGCAGTGGAGCTGGGGTTCAAAGGCAGGTCTATCTGACCCCAAAGCTACATGCCTAATCACCACCCTGTAATGTCTAGCAGCCAGACTCCTGTGCCACCACACTCCCTTCTTGTCCTAAGAACCACGGCCACCTCTTTGTTTTCAAGACTCCAAAAAGAAGAGGGGCTGGGGGCTGGCCCCGTGGCCGAGTGGTTAAAGCCGTGCGCTCCGCTGCAGGCGGCCCAGTGTTTCGTTGGTTCGAATCCTGGGCGCGGACATGGCACTGCTCATCAAACCACGCTGAGGCAGCGTCCCACATGCCACAACTGGAAGGACCCACAACGAAGAATGTGCAACTGTGTACTAGGGGGCTTTGGGGAGAAAAAGGAAAAAATAAAATCTTTGGAAAAAAAAAAAAAGAAGAGGAGCTGGTTACTTTGCAGCAGTCTTGCACAGGTGAGTGGCCAGTGCGGGAGGCACTATAGCACCCTTCTTAAGGGTAGCGTTTGAGAGAGGTCGTCTGCAGTCAAATCCTGACTGTACCAGGTTCTAGCTGTGTGACCCTGGATTAGCGACTAAACTCTTCCGAGCCGCAGGTTCCCCAATCTATAAAATGAGGGTTATAATAGCAGATACTTCACACTGTTATTTTAAGGATCAACTGGGGGTAATCCTTATACAGCACTTTGCACATACCTGGGACATAGTCACTGCTCCCTAAATTGTACATGTTAAGTCAACAGAGAGGAGGAAGGAGGGGAAAAAAAGTAAAAGGACATAATCTAATGTTTCAAAGTAAAGGCCTCTCTGGCCTCCTGCCAGCCTCTAGGAAACACTGCTGGACGTGGTGCATCCACGGCGACGGCGAGCACCAGGGAGCTCTGGCGGCCGCAGAGCTGACGGCCTGACCGTCTGATCAAAGGAGGGTGAACTTAGGCTTGGAGATCCGAGCTGAGCCTGTTTCAGGACACAGTTCTACAAAGCAGAAACCCAGGGACGGCTTATATGACAATTTTTTATGAATTGGAATGCTCGATTCTCAGAATAGCGTTTTCTCATTCCACGGGAGATAAAACTGTTTCTCATGCAGACATATAAATGCCCTGACTGACAGCTTTCATTAAAAGCAAACAGTCTTGTAATATGGGACCTAAATTTAGTGAGGTCTTCCGTGAATGTACGAAATGTCACCCTGGCTCAGGCTAAAGGCCCTCGCAACGTGCTTCTGAGAGCAGGATGGAGAAATTCGAGGACAAGGTGCTAAACGACGCAGGGGCTGCAACGTTCTTACCCCATCACCTCGGGTTAATGCCTTTCTCACCAAGAGAGGGAAACCACAGTCAGGGCCACGCAACTGAGCCCCAGGAGTCGCACTTTTCTAAATAAGTTTTTGAGTGGGAGGCTTGCTAACTTCGCATAAAGGAAATAAACAGTAACAGCAATTATTTCCCGTCTCTTGGTCAGGTGAATAAATACAGAATGCAAAGTGAGCCAGCCTAAGAAGCTTGTGCACCTTCTGCACAGTCTGAAAGACTTGGTAGGAAATGGAGAATCTCTACAACTGCAAAAGCGATGAGGAACAAAACACAATGGCAGTGAAATTCACTCCAGGACTGTCACAGCAAGACACCCTTCTAGGATTCCAAAGCTAGGAATGCATCCTCCCTGTGTTCCCACCAGCCCAGCGAAACCGAGTAAACTGTTTACCAGGGACCTCAGCAAATCAAGCCTCACAACTCAGCAGTGGGAGAGCTTCGCGACACAAAGAGAAAACATCTTTGCTCTCCTCTGCCAATTTTCTTATACTGAGCTCATAAGTTCCGTGACCAAAACGAATGGGAGGCACCATAGGAGAGCTTAGAAAAGCAGAGGAGTATGTTTTGCTAGGCTCTTTCCTCTAACATGAAGGGAGAAATCAATTCACTTTCCCCTCTAACCCTTGAATCCCAGGAGAACGCCAGTGTTTGGATGGCCTACACATGCTCAGCTTTCCGGCAGTGCCCCAGACAGGGAACCCATCCATCCACGTATTGTTCTTACCTCCCACCTCCTCCTACGGCAGGGGAGGGGCATGGGCACATGGTTCTGAGGTCACGCTCCTCACTTAAAGGATCGTGGGAATGCTACGGAAACACTTGTTACAGCTCTGCCAGCTGGAATGGCTGCTGACTAAGAGGCTGGAAAGCCAGGGGTGCAGGACCAGACACAGGAGGAAGGCGAGTGCAGGGAGGCGGATGTTACGTGTCATAAAACAAACAGAAATGATCACATTGTCCACTTTAAATATGCGCCACTTAATGTACTCAATAAAGTTGGAGGAAAAAAAATAACAAGGGGGGCGCTCTCCTACCACCTCAGAAGCGCACTGCTGCCCAACAGCTTTGGGAAAACAAGTTTTAATAAGAAAATTCCATTAGGAAGTCAACTTAAGGAAACCCAGAGTGTGCTGAGTGAAAAAGAGGTTTTCCCAAGCATGTCCTCTGAAAAATGACCACTGACGCGTCCCATGGCTCTCTGGGGAATCCGAAGCCCAGCAGAGGCCACGGACTTCACCTAAGCTTACACATGGAACTAGAACCCAGCCCCAGATCTGCACCACCTTTTCCACTTTCCTGTGCTGCTTCACTAGCAAGACTCAGCCAGGAGTAAGCGGCCCTGTGAGACGGCCCAAGTTAGGACTTCAGCTCTCGGACACACGAGGGCTTCAGGAAGGCAGTCCCACAGACCGGCCCGACTCCCCACCAGAGGCCGACAGGCAGGCCCTGGACAGCCTTCAAGGTCACCAGCAAGGGCAGCTTGCTCTCTTTTTTCTGGTTTCCCTTATAACCAACAGCAGGCAGCTGGTCAGTGCTGGGACGTCCTCTGACTTGGGGAAATGGCTTAGCTGAACCTTCTAAGAAGATTAAATCCAGGGCCAGGGAGCAGGTAGGAATCCATTTCCAATCAACGATGGAAAGCAGCCTTACTCATCAGCCAGGATTCATTCTCGCAAGATGTAAAAATCAGCAGTCCCACCCAAGATCAGAGAAGTTCAAGGAGGTCTGGAGTGTGGTGGCACATCCCGAATGAGAGAAGCCTGTGGGAAACACCGCCTTCTGGCCGTGGGCTAGCTGTCTGGAGAGACAGGAGACCAGTCTCTAGGAAGGTATTCCAAAAACGCCCGCAATGGGAAGGCGAGGTAAAGTACAGAACACCCCCCTCAGGTAAATACTCTCTATTTAAGGGAAGAAAAGCTGTAAAACATCTCAGACAACTACAGCCTCCCTCCTGCAGAGCACAACCCTGCGCACGTGCATTCACGGGAAAGATGGTGTCAACTAGGAAAGTCTCTGAGTTACAGGTCTTTTGCTCTTAGGAATCCAGGATCGAGTTTTGTTGACCTCGGAGTCCCACTTGCCCCTTACAAAATCCCTAAAGCACTGTGTCTTCCAGCAGCTGCTAGATCATCACCAGAGCTGAACAAGCCCCCACATCCAGGCAGCCTGTTTTCACACAGCACTGGTTATTAAGCAGCTCTTCCTCACATCTGCAACTTCCACCCACTGACAGTCCTCCTGAGCCACGGCAAGGATGTGCAAGTTCTGGGCCACAGGACATCCTTTCGAACACTGAAGCAGGCCATCACGTCCTCCCTCACAGCCAGCTCAGCTCCTGGCTAAACACTCCTGGTTCTGCCATGGGCTGGACATGACACAGCTGTGAGACCACTCACCATTGGGTGTCCCCCAGGGTTGATTCCACCGACTTGTTGACTGTCTGCTGTGGGCTGCACATGACCCATCTGTGAGACCACTCACCATTGGGTGTCCCCCAGGGTTGATTCCACTGACTTGCTGACTGCCTACTATGAGCCACTCATCTTAGATCTTATTGCTCTTAGATTCAGTCCTTGGAGTCTCCTTGTTGTTTTTTTTGAGGAAATCAAGGTCCTAACGTCCAGTACTTGAGCAGTTTCTGCGGTGGCAATCACATCCTCTGCCCAGGCATAAGAAAGTAGGACAGGGCCAGAGCACGACCAGGCAGGGGGTTGCTACCGATTTTTCCAACAGCTGAAGTAAAACACCTGCATATTCCTGACAAGCCCAATAAACCGCTTAGAAAGTACTTCGAGGTACGACCACTCAGGAAACACTTTAATACAAGATACATGTGTAAGGAATGCATGTTAGAAACAGATGATGTAAAAACAATCTGCTTTCCTACGTAGATTAAGCATTTCTCCTGAAATCCAGCCCCAGCAGCTCAGTCCGACCTTTCCTCACAGTGAAAGGCTAAGTTTCAGCCGAGCCTAAGGCCAACTGTTCTGGGTGACAACCAGTGGATCCAAAGCAAGGAGGTGCGACGTTGCTAGGATGTGTGGTTTGTGCAGCTACGAACAATTTAAGGAGGGAAAGTTTGCACACATCCACGCTGAGCTCCCCTAGGCGGAGTGACTCAGAATTAGTGTCTGGATAGGTATTATTGCATCCAACTCTAATTTAGACAGACTACCACATTCAAAATCATGCTTTCCAACCATCGTTGATGAAGTTAGAAAATACACATAATAAGAAGAAGTAGTGAAAACTCTCAGAGCGAATCCCAGCTAGTTTGCCATGCATTCCTCAGCTGTGCAGCTTGTGTCCCGGAGACAGGGTGGGGTCTATCCCCGCCCTGCATTCAGAGGGTGGGGACACATGGCACACCGGTGGGCTGAGC